TTGTTTTTTTTAAATAAAAAATAAAACAAAAAAGAAGATAAATATAGATAAAGTAGAATTAAAATAGAATAGAAAGTGCTAGAGTTAGAGGGTCAAATAAAGGTGGAACAGATGTGTTTTTAGTCGTTTCTTGAAGATGGTTAAGGACTCAGCTGCTCGGATTGATTTGGGCAGGTCATTCCACCAGGAGGGAACAGTTAATGAAAAAGTCCGTGAAAGTGATTTTGTGCCTCTTTGAAATGGCACAATAATACGCCGTTCACTTGCAGAACGCAAGCTTCTAGAGGGCACATAACTCTGAAGTAATGAATTAGCATGATGGATTTCTCTGCACGTGGCCTCCTCTTTGTAGTAAACGTCAGTGGAAAACGAAAACGTGAATGCCGAGCTGGAAGTCACACTGGAATTCTTTTGGATGCAATACCTTGCAATAGATTCAAAAGAATATAAGAGAACTGAGATGTTTTGATCTCCTGGGTTGAGCATTTAACAATAATAAAGAGAAACCAGGTGCTAGACATCAATGCTTTGAAATCAGTTCCTAAAAGAAAAAAAACTACAATACATATCCTTAAAAATACAGCACTATAGGCTACTTTGTTAATGTGAAGGAATTTTCCAAGTTTTTTAGCCGTATTTTAAATTATGCACTTCATTGTGTTGTGTTTTAGGGTTGAAAGAAACTTTTCTGCCAGGACATTATCCTATAATCTTTTTTATAGAGATTTTTCTTACAGTGTAGCTATTATTTATTCACATAAAACGTTTAACTTACAAACAGCATTTGTCTTTATTTGATCAGTATTTGTTTCTAAATTATAAAATGTTTAATTGATTAAATATTATAATTTAAAATATAATTTTGTTTTTGTGTGTTATGGATTAAAATGTTATTTATTATTTTTTTTCTGTTTGACTTTTCAATTTAGTTTTTATTTTAGGTTTTGAATGGTATTTTAAGGCTGCCAAAGTGGTGCTTTTTAATAATGTTGAAAGCAGGTGGGTTATAAAGGTTTTAAGCAAAACTAAAATTATTTTTTGTTAATTTTTATTTTAGTTTAGTTAGTTTTGGAATTATTTTAATTTGGGTTTTTCAAAGTTACTTTTTATTATTATATAACAACAAAAACAAATATCACAATTTAGTTTTTCTATCAATAATACTGATATTATGTTTGAGCATTATTTGTCTGAATTCAGCTGGCCTTGCTGAGGATGACTATAGTGGCCATTTTTTAGTCCCTGGAGCACACCTGTGTTGTTTACATTCTGCCATAGTTGAACGTGACGGATCGAGACTTCACACAGACCACCCACAACCAAAGACCCTTCTCTCTGGAACCCTTCCAAGTCCCTGTCCAAACCCTCATGTCTATGAGGTAAACACACTGATTACTGCATTCAGCTCTCATCACCTGGATCATTCCCCTTTTGCTCCGAGAGGGTGCCATTTCGGTCACATGCTGCAGCAATTTTTCGGTGTCATTGAAGTTGCTCTTTTCCTGCTAATCACAGAGTATTCGGGCAGTTTCTCTTCTGATGGTTCATGTGGGTTTATGTTTGGATGATAGAAGCTGGACATTGTGAAAACGAAGCCACCGTAGAGTTTACTTTTCTCGTTCAAGATGCACACCTGATTCGATGATCTTTTTGATCTCTTTCCGCATCGACTGTTGATTTTCAGTCAGGGGATTTTCAGGGGCGCGGAGAGAGGATGGATTAATGTGCATATAATGAGGGAACAGTCAAGGGCTGTGGAGCATTAGCAGATTGTGGTGGACGGGAATTGGATAGATTATGGACTGTGTGCTTATGTAAAATCCCTCAGGACACCTTTATTAAGATTTGCAGCTCACATCTCACGGAGGTCAAACGGCACATTATGGGTAAATCACCAGTTTGATTGACCTGGAATGTGTGGAAATTGAAGACACCTTGAGGACTGACTGCATATGTGTGTGTGTGTGTGTGTGCTGCGTACTGATGGCAGCGTTATCTGCCTGGCCCAGGTGCAGCTGAAGCGCTCAGTGAAAGGTTATAGAGTGAAATGTAAAATGAACATACCACATTTCACCTACTTGCCTTTAGGATGGGGTTACCTCTCCGGCCAGTAGAGCAGAGGTACGGCAATCAGAGCCGGTAAACTAATACCGCCGCCGAGTCTGTCACCCTGACCTGAACCTGAGTTTCAACTTTTCTGGGCAGTAAAATTCTGGAAGATTTACTGTGGACTGGCCTGTCCCTCAAGTTTACGTCCCACCTCTCTTGCTCTGTGGCAATCAGGAGGAAACTTCAGGCAGATCTGCACAATGGTTCATTTGTAGTAGATCTGGGCCTCTTAACTGAAGAAATTTGACAGATAAGGAACCGTTTCATGCAGTACTCGGTCATGTACATGTACGTTAACTGATACATTAATCAGATGACTGTTCTGCTCAGCGGTCTTTTCAGTATCCAGTGTTTTTTAAACTTGACTATTAAGTCAAGTAATTAAATTATGAGTGATGTTTCCAGAATTTCATGACCTCTGCATAAACAACGACAGTAACAACATTATTTTGTGGAACACTCACTAAATACTTATTTTAAAACAACAACAACTGTACTTTCAGATCAAATTAAAGGCCACTTAATTATATATAAGAAACTTTTCATCATTTGTAGTCTTTAGCACACTAAAGCACACTTTAAAAAAGTGAAAATTGACTATTTTTCTAAGAGCGTTTTAATTTAAAGAACATTTTAATTTATGACTTTTTATAAATACACTTAATCTGCTTTGATTAAAATGTGTAAATGTAAAGTACTTGATTCTAATTTTAACTCTAGCATGTTATGCAATATTACATTTAAATTATTTTAAATGTACTGAATTGCAGCTTAATTACAAATGTGTAATTACAAATATATTTAAATACATGACACAGGTTTGCTTATTTAACCATATTTCAAAGACAATAGGTAGCTTTATTTTAAGATTTTGTTTAAGGAATTTGTTTAATTCCTTGTTACATATGTTACATGCAATTACTATTATAATAACAATTAATTATGCATAATTACATGCAAGTAACCATAAACCAAACCCTAATCCTAACCCTAAACATATAGTAAGTACATGTAGTTAATTAATATTACTCAGTACTTACATGTATAATTACACTGTAACAAGGACACCTTAAAATAAAGTGTAACCGAAATGTATAATTATAACATAAAGATGTACTTGAATCCTATTTAAGTTGGTCGATAAAAGCACTTTAGAGTTCAGCTAATTGCATTTAATATAAATTTCAAACTATAATACATTTTCATTTAATTGCAGCTAACATGAAAACATTAAATTCAGTTTACACATAGGCCTAAGTATGTTGTTTTAAAGTGTATTAAAGTGTATTCTGCACTATGTACTTCCCTTTGCAAGGGTAATAGTGTAGAATTAGTATAGAACTTTTATTTATTCTTCTACTTCTCAGATTTACCTTCTTTTTTCCAAAAGCCAAAATAGCTCCAGTCAGGTCTTGCAGTATGTGCAGCTGCTTCTCAACTTCCTGTTTTGGGCAGCTTGGAGCCTTTCTCTTCCTGTTAACCTGGCCAGTCTGGTATGCCAGTGCGAGATCCTCTGAATACAGAATAAGAGGCCCTCTCCTCATACTGTAGGTCTTAGGAGGAACTGGCTCCTGGCCTCCAAAAAAACGGCCGCTGCTGGTAAGACGCAGCAATGGAGGCTGGGATTTCCAGTTGAAGTAGTCCTAGTTAAGAAGAGATCATGTTTCCATTGACTGTGTGCATTCAAACAAATCAAACTTTATCTTGGACTCATTGAAACTGGTCTTATATAGACATATAAAAAACATTTACCTCTGGTTCAAAACAAACCTCCAGTCTTCCATCATGACCGTCTTCATTTGGCACAATTTGGCCGTACCCACGACTCAGCAAAGAGAGGACAAAATCTTTCATTGTGGAGTTGTTTGTGCTTCTTTGAATGAATGCTAAAAAAGTATAATCCTGTCATGATTGTGGTCTTGTCATGTAGCGGTTGCAAAGATCTGAACATCAAGTTTTAAAACTCATATCAAAAGTCTGTCATATTGAGAGTGTATACAGCAACCGTAAAACTCACTCTTAAATATAAAGGTTCTTTATTGGCATCTGTGGTTCCACAAATAACGTTTAATGTCCAAGGAACCTTCCCATTCTACAAAAGGTTCTTTATAATTGAAAAAGTACCTTTGATTATATAAAGAAAGGTTCTTTTAAGAACTGTTCATAGCAAGGTTCTTTGGGGAACCCAACATGTTTTTTTTTTGTTGTTTTTTTTAAAAACAATAACAACTTATTCAGAGTCAGCAATTTTTTTTTTCCGCTTTTGTTCTCGTACCTCAGTTTGTGGCCGAGCTCCCCTCTCCTCAGTGACCATTTCTCTTTAATTCAGAATGCATTCGTGTGTTCGTTCAGCGTCCCCGCCCGCTGCTTTTACATACTACTGAATCATTTCGGCCCATGTTACAAATGTCTGTGTTTACTGAGCTTTGCAGTTGCCAGGCTCTCCACAGCTCAGAACTGATTTATTGTTGCCTTGGTTGCAACCAAGCAGTTACCCCCTCCTGGTCAGGCCAGCAACTCTGACTACCTTAGCTAAACCCATCCTAATATACAAACAAAAGGAAGATGACAGCTCACAGCTTTTGTGAATAACCAGAACTGGGTCTCCTGCAGGACACGTCCTGTCATATGCCCAGGATAGCACATCCCTAATTAGTGTTATTGATTGTGCCACAAGAAATAGACTTTTCCTTCCTTCACATAAAACCCCCTCCATCAATCAAATAGACAGGAGAAATTGTTCAAGCTTACAGCTAAAGACCTGCCGGATGTCCTTAAATAATGTGAGAGGATACCGTGACAGTTTAGCCACAAGAAAAGAAAAAAAAAATACAAAGAAAGATACATGGAGTGATTTATGACAGCAGGTGTTATTATGTCTGGCTAATGAATATGTTTTAGTAAAACTAAAATTTGTTGGTTTCTTTTGATCAGCTCCTGTGCTTTCCTATACTCCAGTCTCCAAGAAGTTGGAAGTTTAAACTGAGCTTCACAGTTTACTGTAGAGGGAAGACTTATTCAGCCTGAACCACAACACTAGCCTCTTCAACCACATCTCCATGTGCCTTGTGTTACATGGTGAATCATTTTATTGCTCTGTGAGATCATACTTTTTGACGCTGAACAGAACCCTAGTCTGGCCACCTGCAGGGCTTAATAGGCTGATGAGGACAAAATGTTAGGATACTTAACGGTAACCTGCCTACACCCCCTGAGCTTAGCTCTTGCTTTTTCTCAACCTAGCCTGTGTAGAGTATTGTAATGATGATTAAACCTCCTATTGTCATAAAAAAAAAACGCCATCCAATGTGATCCTTAAAGGGTTAGTTCACCCAAAAATGAAAATTCTGTCATTAATTACTCACCATCATGTCGTTACAAACCCGTAAGACCTTCATTCATCTTCGAAGAAAGCGCGTGCATGAACGTAATCTGCGTAATCAGCGTTGTTTACACTTAGGGGAAAGCATGCTTATGCATTGGGATACTCTCTAAAATGGTGGAAGACGTAACTCGGGGGAGAAGAATTGTTGAAAAAATTATGTTATTGTTGTTTTCTTTGTGCTCAAAAAGTATTCTCGTAACTTCGCAAAACTGAAGTTGAGCCACTCACATGGACTGTTTTACCGATGTCCTTACTACATTTCTGGACCTGGGAACATTACAGTTGCGTTGCTGTCTATGCAGGGTCTGAGAGCTCTCACATTTCATCAAAAATATCTTAATTTGTGTTCCGAAGATGAACGAAGGTCTTACAAGTTTGGACGAACGACATGAGGGTGAGTAATTAATGACAGAATTTTCATTTTTGGGTGAACTATCCCTTTAAGTCATTTTTTTGCCCAAATTGAAATAATAAAAAATTCATGATTATATTAAATGAAATGGTTTATTTTCTGCTCTCAAAATGTATTATGATAGTGAGTATTATTAGTGTTGATGCAGTAACAATTTCTGTAAAAATTAAAATTACTTAAGGATACTACCTCAGTAATGAGTATCCTGTTTACACTTTATTTCAGTCACTTTTGGCATAATGCAATATGCCATGCATTTTATATCATCGTCTGTACTGATCTGCTGTTGTTCTTTATTATACATCTTAAAGTTTGCCTTGTGTTTATTTTACAAACTGTTCACAGCTTGTTCTGTAGACATTCAAGTTTGCGACATAATTATTGTTACAGAATATGATTCATGAAATAAAATATGCATTCTGCTCACAATATAATAATGTAATGCAATATAATATTTTGATGATTGCTTTGCAGCATGCACATTTATAATGTACTTTTAAGGTTGTTACAAAGCAATGCTTTTAAATATATTAAAGCTCTCCAGTTGTACAGGAGATAAATTATGTAGCCTACAACATGTGATTATGAACTAAACGTCTGCTTAAAAATAAAATTAAACGTATCTTTCAACCTTGAAACTTGGTTTTACAGTTCATTCAAGGCAACTCCGCTTGTAATCTAGTGTTCTCAACATAAGTCACCTGTAGGTAGCGCCAAAGCCCCGGCCTTACGCATCATCTCAGTAAAGCTGCAGGAGTTTCCCTAATAAACACAAATACTCTTTAGTCGTTTACTATAAATACAATAAATATCACCACAGCACACACCTGAACGCACAATTTTATTTGGTCTCATTTACTGAGGCTGACTTTGTCTTGTTTATAATAACATTAAAAATAATTTTGACTATTTCAGTTTAGTCATTGAGCACTTTCTGATATGGTTTTCTTAAAAAAAAAAACTAAATGTTTAAAAGATCAGTGTGTGGTGTAGGCCTACACATCTTTATGTCTTTGTTTTCAAGATATTAAAAATAATTGGTTGCAAACAAGAACTGTGTAATGCCATCTGTAGAGTAAAATGAGTCGGTTAAAAATCTAATCATTTTATTCAGCGAAACTGTACAGATACAAAGGTCTCTTACCAAATTTTAAAAATCAAGTAAAAAACAGCAAGATTATTTTCATAAATACATATATTCTTTCAGAAAAGGTGATTATTTACACGTTACATCGTTTAAAGGGAGCTTGCATAAATTCACAGCTGTACACATGCATATAAGTATCCCAATCCTAATGCGTACTTGACGGTCCATTTATGCCAATGTATGCATGATTGTCGACGGAGGGCTGCGAAAGTCATACAAGTCCCCAGTTAAAACAAAGGATGGTACATGTGTATAAGGCAAATTACGTCCAATATTTTCAGGTAGCTACAGGACCGTTTGCGTTGCGCAAATCATTCAGTACTGTCTACGTTGCACAGAAACATAGTCTTTTTCACATACAAATATATGAGAAAAACCGATGGTTAAACAGACTCAGGCTGATAACACTGTCCATGATGGTCCGTCTGCACTGTGGAAACGTCTAGTAGTGTCCACAAAACTCACTCAACAAGTCGCGTAACAGTTCTCCGCTCGAGACATTTATCTCAGAGAAAAGTTGCATGGTCAAAGCTTGACCGAAACTATAAGGACGACTCGCTCTTTTTTCATACCGTCGTCTCGCCTTGGTTGCTATTGCTGAGCCTTTTATAAAACCTGCGCCAAGACTGCAGAGTTTTCCCAGACCATATCCAAAATCCAGAGGTGATTCCCACGATCATGGTCATCAGATACTTTATCATGAAAACGGTGAAGTCTGGAGACATGGGGGCGAAGTTGTTGACTGGGCAAGGGACGGCGAATCGCTTACACGTTTGCATGTGCCAGGTCTTCTCCCACTGCTCGCGGAAAGCCTGCTCGTAGAAGTAGCACGCGATCACGATGGTAGCGGGAACCGTGTAGAGCACGCTAAACACGCCGATGCGCACCATCAGCTTCTCCAGCTTCTCCGTCTTGGTGCCGTCGTGCTTCATGATGGTTCTGATGCGGAAAAGCGACACGAAGCCGGCCAGGAGGAACGAGGTGCCAATGAAGAGGTAGACGAAGAGGGGCGCCAAGACGAAGCCACGCAGAGAGTCCACGTTGTAGATGCCAACGTAGCACACCCCGGTGAGAATGTCACCATCCACTTGGCCCAAGGCGAGGATGGTGATGGTCTTAACCGCTGGGACAGCCCAAGCGGCAAGGTGGAAATACTGAGAGTTGGCCTCAATGGCTTCATGACCCCACTTCATTCCCGCTGAGAGGAACCATGTGAGGGACAGAATGACCCACCAGATTGAACTTGCCATGCCGAAGAAATAGAGGATCATGAAGAGGATAGTGCAGCCCTCTTTTTTCGTGCCCTGCGCGATGGTCTTATAACCATCATCGTTGAACTTGTCAATGCAAACGACATTGTCTTCAAGGAAAAAGCCAGCTGCGTATGCAACAGCCACCATGAAGTAACACCCAGAGAGGAAGATGATGGGCCTCTCCGGGTAACGAAACCGCCTCATGTCCACTAAGTACGTGAGAACGGTGAACAGTGTACTAACGCAGCACAAAATAGACCAAATTCCAACCCAGAGCCGGCCAAATTTGACCTCTTCCTCTCTAAAATACATCAGCCCGTTGGGTCTAGTGGGCTCACACGGCGCCCCGCAGTCTTTTTCCCCCATGAAGTGGTACTTGAGATAAGTGGGCACTTTGAGTTGCAGCGGACATGTGAATTGCTGGCTGGGTCTGACCACGCTCGGCTGTAATGTGATCAGTTCTGGGACGTAGGGCGTCGGGTTTGAGGTCGGGCTTCCCGCGTCCGAGGTGTTCTGACCCACGCAGATCTCCCCCGCGCCGTGCACCGGGAAGTTCTCGCAGCGCAGGCGCTCGGGCCACTGGAAGCCAAACTTGTTCATGAGGGCCTCGCAGCCCTGTCTCGCGCGCTCGCACAGGGAGCGACACGGCGGGATGGC